GACATATAAAAAAATAAAGAAAACCATCCCATTCACAATAGCATCAAAACCAATAAAATAATTTGGAACAAATTTAACCAAGAAAATAAGAGATCCGTACAATGGAAACTACAAAACTTTGCTGAAAGAAATCAAAGACACAAGCAAATGGAAAGATTCCCATGTACATGGATGGAAAAAATTAATATTGTTAAAATGGTCAGACTACTCAAAGCCATCTACTGATTCAGTGCAATCCTCATCAAACTGTCAAAGCTATTCTTCACAGAAATAGGAGAAACAATCCTAAAATTGTGTGGGACTACAAAAGAACCTCAATAGCCAAAGCAATCCTGAGAAAGGAGAACAAAGCCAGAGTTACTGGGCTTCCAGATTTCAAACTATACTACTAAAGCCATAATAGTTTCAAACTTAAAACTATATCTATAACAATAAAAACAGTATGGAACTGGCACAAAAATAGACACATCAATCAGTGGAACAGAATAGAGAGCCCAGAATTAAACCCTGGCATATATAGTCAATTAATGTTAGAAAAGGGAGCCAAGAATAACGAATGGGAAAAGGATAGTCTCTTCAACAAATGATCCTGGGAAAATTGGAGAAACATGCTCAACAATAAATTGGACCCCTGTTTCACATCACTCATAAAATTAACTTGAAATGGATCAAAGATTTAAAAATGTCTGATGCCATAAAACTTCTGGAAGAAAATGTTCTTCAAAAAATTAAAAATAGATCCAGCAATTCCACTTCTGGGTATGTACCCAAAGGAAATGAAAACAGAATTTTGAGGAGATATATGTACTCCCATGTTTATTGCAGCACTATTCACAATAGCTGAGATAAGGAAGCAACCCAAGTGCCTGTGAATGAATAAAAAAGGTGTGGTATATTGCACAATGGAATATTATTCAGCCATGAGAAATGAGGATATTCTCCCATTTGCAACAACATGGATGGACCTTGAGCACATTATGCCAAGCAAAATAAGTCAGAGAAAGACAGTTATGCATGAAAACACTTATATATGGACTCTAAAAAAGTTAAACCTGGAAAAACTGCAAAATGATGGTTACCAAGGGGTTGAGGGAGGAGATAAGAGTGATAGTGTTTAAGGGTATAAACGTAGCTTGTTTTCAACTTGTTTTCTTCAGATTTCTGTGACCCTTGTTTGATATTAAGGGCAGGGTTATAAAAAACTGGCCAAAACATCTATATGTATGGATGGGCTGCATCAGCTGGTGAACTTCAGGTGCTGAAGCAGCCTCTCTGTTGGGGAGCTTCCAGATGTCAGTATTAGTACATTTTCTCTGGAGATAGGCAATTTCTCCTTCATATATGTGCCCATTCTTCTTCTTGGGGTGGAGAGGAGGCTTGAGTAGCTGGCTCTCTGTTCTTGACAGGGAGCTGGGACCACTTGGTTCAGTATTCTAATAATCCCCCTGTGCCCAGTTCTGTGTCTGTCTCAACCCTCTGTTGTGTATTGTATCCTGAGTTTACAACCTCTCTGCTTCCTTGGCTCCAGAGAAGAAAATCTCTGATCTGTTCTAGGAGGTAGATGGAGGCAAGTGGCCTAGATGCTCAGGGTCTGAGAGGGACCTGGGGGTCTAATTGCTTGGGATGCTGGCTTTTAACTAAGCCCTTAGTTCCTTGCCACTGCCTTCTGTGGATCCTGGTGCCTCTGAGTGGGAATATGCTGTGGGTGTGTGGGTGTGGATCTCCCCTCTGCTGGCATGCAGTTTACAGCTTTCTCCTCTGATTTAGTGAGTTACCACCCCTCTAATCCGTTTCTTTTCCAAACTGTGGAAATTTCTCATCTGCTGCTCTTTTATTATCATTTTATTAGAATCTGGAAGCAAGAGGAGATAAACACATGTGGTCAATCTGCTATTTTGAACCAGAATTCATCTTTCCTGGGGACTAGAATTACGTCCGCTGACCTTGGAGAACTCCAATCAATCGTAGCTCTCACAGAAAGGCAGTCTTGGGTTTCTGAGCCGCTTGCAGGCTAAGTGCTCTGCAGGTGCCTCCACAGCTTGCTTCCTTCTGCTTTGTCACACTGGAATTCTCATTATGCTTTTGTCAGCTTCAAGGCCCCATCTGAGCAAGTTACCTTTTAAAATATTCTTATGGTCAGTGGTTAAACTCTCTCTGCTCTGTTGAGATGTATTACATTGTTGTTTTTTGAGTGAGAAGGTTGAGTAACAGTGAGTATATATGAAGAAAATGAGTTGTCAGGAATAAAATTAAAGTCAAGATTGGCTGAGTGAAGCCCACAGGGAACTTACTCCATTAATTATCCCTTCTCTTTTCCAACTTTTTTTAAACATTCAGTCCTTATCTTTAGCACTTCTAAAATGCTTTCTTTCATGACAGCACACTCCAGGATTTCTGTCTATTTCTTGGCCATTCTTTCCAGTGTTTCTTAGAGGTCTTTTCTTCTTTGCCTCTCCTGTAAATAACTGTGGTCTCTAGTACTCAATGTTGGTCCTCTTTTCCTCACTTATGTAATTTTGACCTTCCATGTCTTTGATCCTCACCTATGTAGCTATTGTAAACTAGTGTGGAGAGACTTGTGGTAGGGCATCTTCTGAATGTTTATTCTCCTAACTGGGGAATTAGGGAAAGGTCAGGGAAGGTTTCTTGTAGGTGATGATAAAGCTCTCTGAGGTTCAGACCCATTGTGCCAACTGCCTTTTGGATATCTAATTTGAATATCCCACAATCCCCTCAAAACTAATATACCTAAATGGGCACCTTACTCCCGTTTCTCACAGACCTGCTGTCTTAGGGGAACAGCACAACCACTCATCTTCCTCCCTCCCACTATTCTTCCTAGAAATCTGGTCATTATCTAAAATTCTCCCTCTTGAAATGTCTATTATTAACATATTAACCTTCAGTCATGCTCTGGAACATGTGGAGTTCTTAGTCTCTCTCCCTCTCATTTCCAAGTCCATGCTTTCCTGCAACCCCCAATTCACCAACTCCTTTGGGAAACCTCTCTATACCTCCACCTTGCCATATGTTCCATTCAGAGTACGTGTTCTCATACTATCCTGTGCATACCTCCATCACAGCATCCTTTATGCTCTTATTTTTACCTCATGGCCTAATTGTCTCCTCTTCTCTCTCCCAGTTAATTATAAGTATCTTGAAGGCAGTGTCCATACTTTTTTCAAGAAGCTTTACTTCTCTATGAGTCAGTTTTCTCATCTGTAAAATAGGGATGCAGTAATACCCACTTGATTGAGCTGTTGTGGATGGATGAATTCACTGTAAAAAATCAAGTTCCCAACTCATAGTAAGTGCTCAATAAGAGCTATTATTGTGAATATTATTAGCAATGTTTACATTTACTAAATCTAGTAAGTTGTGTAGACATAGAGAACTTTCTTTTTATATTTGCTGAATAAATGAGTGGAAAAAGCACCAGAATTATTTTCCTACTTCAAAAGAAAGAGGTGTGATTTGTTTATTCTGATTCATATTTTCTTTAGTAGCAAAAAGGAAAAAGAGGAAAAAGCATACAAGTTTCACAAAGAGGAAAATGGTCTTTTTCTCCTGTACCCAGTTTTGATTTCCTTTCTGGTGTCTTTGCTGGTCTTTTCCAAACTTGGCAGCTGTGGCCGTGATACTGTTGATGGGAAGGTTGGGCAGTCATGCCTCAAAGATACGCCCCATCGCACCTGGCGGTGGCAGCTCCCCAGACCTGTCTGTGGCGGGGTGTTCGTGAGTGCATGAGCTCAGGTATCTCTTCTTCAGATGTTCTGCAATGAGAAATTTTTCTGGAAGGTTGAACAAGAGAAGAAATCCAGGCCATGCCAGTCTGGGTTCTACTTACCAGAATCATATCTGTTCTTTGAGACCTAAACTTTTGGAAATGGATAGATTCTAGGTTTATCTCCTATTCTTGCTCAACCATTAATAGTTTTTTTTAAAAATTATTTATTTTGGTATCATTAATCTATAATTACATGAGGAACATTATGGTTACTAGACTCGCCCATTCACCAAGTCCCCCCAACAAACCCCATTATAGTCACTGTCCATCAGTGTAGTAAGATGCTGTAGAGTCACTACTTGTCTTCTCTGTGTTGTACAGCCCTCCCCGTGCCTTCCCCCACATTATACATGCTAATCGTAATGCCCCCTTTTTTCTTCCCCCTGCTTCTCCCTCCCTTCCCACCCATCCTCCCCAGTCCCTTTCCCTTTGGTAACTGTTGGTACATTCTTGGGTTCTGTGATTCTGCTGCTGTTTTGTTCCTTCAGTTTTTCTTTGTTCTTATACTCCATGTATGAGTGAAATCATTTGATACTTGTCTTTCTCTGCCTGGCTTATTTCACTGAGCATAATACCCTCTAGCGCCATCCATGTTGTTGCAAATGGTAGGATTTGTTTTCTTATGGCTGAATAATAGTCCATTGTGTATATGTACCACATCTTCTTTATCCATTCATCTACTGTTGGACACTTAGGTTGCTTTCATTTCTTGGCTATTGTAAATAGTGCTGCGATAAACATAGGGGTGCATCTGTCTTTTTCAAATTAGGCTGCTGCATTCTTAGGATAAATTCCTAGAAGTGGGATTCCTGGGTCAAATGGTATTTCTATTTTGAGCTTTTTGAGGAACCTCCATACTGCTTTCCACAATGGTTGAACTAATTTACATTCCCACCAGCAGTGTAGGAGGGTTCCCCTTTCTCCACAACCTTGCCAACATTTGTTGTTGTTTGTCTTTTGGATGGTGGCGATCCTTACTGGTGTGAGGTGATATCTCATGTGGTTTTAATTTGCATTTCTCTGATGACAAGTGATGTGGAGTATCTTTTCATGTGTCTTCAACCATTAATAGTTTTATGTGTTTTTTAAAAAGAATTCCACATGTATTACTAAAATATGGCCTAACTCTGACACAAATTTAAATATACAGTAGGAAAATATATGTTTTACAAAGTATGCTTAGTTTAAACCATGTCTATATTTTAATTTACAGGAAGAGAAATTCTCACAGCTGACAGGGTGCAAAGTGTTGAAAGTTTGACTTTTGATTGGATTTCAAAGAATCTTTATTGGACGGATGCGTCTTACAAAAGTGTCAGTGTCATAAGGCTAGTTGATAAATCGAGACGTGAAATAGTCCAGAATTTAAATAATCCACGAGCAATCGTAGTTCACCCTATTGCTGGGTAAGTTTGTTCATGTTTTCCTAAGGGCTTAAACCTGTATGTCTATTAAAGCTAGTGAAGAGTGATGCCATATGGATTTGACAAGTTCAGCTATATAAATTGAAATCACTTTCAATTTGTCCTTTTAGCATAAGCTTAAGTAATCAATTTCATTAACAAAACTTTCTCCTTAATTTTAGCCTTCCCAGTCTTCACAGAAGTGTGTTTTTTCCACACTGCAGAGGACTTAACAATTAGATATTGAACAAATTCAGTAGGGAAGGAATGAATATGAAGTGGAATTATCAGAAAAGGCTCAAATTCTTTCCTTGCTACAATGTATTGATGTAGACCTTAGCAAAGTTTGCTTAATCATTTAGTAGTTTTCAGAATAAAAACTCTTGGCAATCACAGAGACTATTCCATGATTGGTGGTGTCAGACCAGTAAGGACAGAGCAGTTTTCACTGTTCCTTTTAGGTTTTTTACCTTTCATATTTAAATATATTTAATACAAATATGTTTGTTTAGAACAAGTCTGAGCTAGGTAGTTGTATTATATATATATATATATATCATATATATATAAATGTTTTATATATATATATTTTATACTTTAATCTAAAAACTAGTTTGTGATGGAGGTATATATAATACCTCTTTTAGACATAATGAATCTGAGGCTCAGAGAGGTAAACTGACTTCCAAAGACCCACAAACATTAAGCAACAGTTAATGTTCAATTCCAGGCCTGTCTACTGCAAAGGCTGTGTGTCTAACAATTCTGTATGCTGCCTCTAGAGTGTTTATTTTATATTTTAGTTTTCTTCTTGTGAAATAATGTAAGCAACATTTTTTAAATTAAGGTATCATTGATACCTTATGATACTCATGATAATTTCACAAGAAAAACAATGTGGTTATTATATTCATCCTTATTATTGAGTCCCCTTCATACCCCATTGCAGTCACTGTCCATCAGTGTAGTAAGATGCCACAGAGTCCCTGTTTGTCTTCTCTGATCTACACTGTCTTCCCCATGACCTCACACACACCATGTACACCAATCACAATATCCCATAATCCCCTTCTCCCTCCCTTCCCACCCACCCTCCCCCACCCCTCCCCTTTGGTAACCACTAGTCCCTTCGTGGAGTCTGTGCATCTGCTGCTATTTTGTTCCTTCAGTTTTGCTTCATTGTTATACTCCACAAATGAGGGAAATTATTTGGTACTTGTCTTTTTCTGCCTGGCTTATTTCCCTGAGGATAATACCCTCTAGCTCCATCCATGTTGTTGCAAATGGTAGGATTTGTTTCTTATGGCTGAGTAATATTCCATTGTGTATGTGTACCACCTTTTCTTTATCCATTCGTCTACTGATGGACACTTAGGTTGCTTCCATGTCTTGGCTATTGTAAATAGTGCTGTGATAAACATAGAGGTGAATATTTTTTTTTTGAATCTGAGTGTAAGCAACATTTTAAAACTGGCATTATTGATAAGAAATATTGTTGCCTAATAGAAAGTTAAACAGGTGATTTTCTTAAGACTTTATCTTAAACTAAATCTTTGGTATCTGATTTTGAAAGTCTGATAAATCCTTCCCTAGTGACTCCTTCATTTAAAATAATATGAAATCACATTTCAGAAACTTACATTTTGGAAAAATTTAAGTTTAGTTCCTCAGGTTCATAGGAAGGAGAAAAGTTTTTCTTTTCTTATTTAATCTTTTGCCACTCCTCAAAATAAAAAAGACACCTTGGGTAAGATTGTTTAATAGTTACCTTGATTTAGATGCATTCTGCATCAGGGATGAAATGCCTTCTTGTAAGTTTATCAGTTCTTTGTGGAAGATGATCAAAGGGTGATCTAGTGGACCCTGGATGTTTAATCCAGAAGAGAGAGAGGGATTAAAATCTGTTTTCTGGCTCATAGTGTATTTCTTTTGAACAACATGGAGTATTTAGACTGTAGCCTGAATTGTGTCTTTTTAAAGAATTTACTTGGTGACAATCCTTTAAGGTTCTCAGAGTAGCACAGTGGTTCTCTTGTCTGGCTGTCCATATTAATGCCACTTACATTTGTGACTTTGGTTATATGACGGTAACTGAACTTTTAATTAAGAACTAGATCGGTTATACACTTAGTCTGCTTAGTAAGCAGTTTTTTTCTTTCTTTATAAACCCTGTGGCACACACAGAAAACAATATCAGTTGCAGCAAGTCTCTGGAAATCTGTGCTTGGGCTAAATCTCTCTGAGTAATGTAGTTTGTCTCAGTGTTCACATCTTTAATTTATTTATTACCTCCTTTTCTAGATATATATTCTTCACCGATTGGTTCCGTCCTGCTAAAATTATGAGAGCATGGAGTGATGGATCTAACCTTTTGCCTATAGTAAACACTACTCTTGGATGGCCCAATGGATTAGCCATTGATTGGGAGTAAGTAGAGGTCATCCTGAATTACTGAGTTCCCACTTACTATGGAACACATATGAAATAAGATGTGGAAATATGATGGAGTAGGGAAACTGGTACTACTTGCCTTCAGATATTTTTACATCATTGATTGGCAATGGGAGAAGGATACAGAATGACTGATATAAGAACACAAATATAGTTGGCCAACTTCTGCTGGGACAAAAATCATTGCATTCATGAGTATCCTGGGGAAATTGCTAGAGGAAGTCCAGTGATAGGACCTATGGAAGGTCAGTATGGGGGATGCAAGGCCTAAATCCCTTTAGAAATAAGACAGGGATTTCAGGAAGTGCAGGTTATGTGTGATTTTAACAGGTGGCATCCTGAGGATAGGAGATCTGTAGTGCCAATTAATCAACAAATGTGAAGTTGCCTGTATGTACTCTGGGAGAATTTTTGAAGAACTATAAGATATGGTTCTCAAGAAATTCATGATCTGTATAGGAGTACAGAAAAAGGTAACAGGTTTAATAATTTTACATAAATGAAATGCGAAAGTTGTTCACAGGAGAGAAAAAAAGAAATGTATTTAATCTTCTAGACATATATTGCTACCAATATTTTTCTTAACTTGTTGACTTAATAAGGAGAAAAAATTCCTAACTCATAGATTACAATAACATTTCAATTTTCCTAAGACAGTTAATTGAAAATCACTTCATGAGATTAAATTTATCTTTCTCAGGGGCATAAAACTATTAAATTTTTAATGAGTATAATTTAGTTTTTAAAAATTTTGTTTAATAAGTATGTCAACTGAACTACTGTTTTTGAATGCTCTCAGTGTAAAGGTTGCTTTGCTAGTTTCTGGATGACAGATAACTAAGTATTTTATGATTTTAGTGCTTTACGATTGTACTGGGTAGATGCGCTTTTTGATAAAATTGAGCACAGCACCTTTGATGGTTCAGATAGAAGAGCCCTGGGCCATATACAGCAGATGACACATCCATTTGGACTTACTATCTTTCAAGGTATGTTTTGAAGCAATAAAAGTGAGCATTGTTTTATACTTTGCAAACTTTAACAGTAGATTCATCCTCATTTGGCAATCTCATGATTTCAGAAGAGTTGGTCACTTTAGAATACAAAGAAATTAAAGTGGTGCTGTTATGTGGAGATTAAACATTTGTTTTTTTTGACTGAATATTTCACTTTTTTAAGGCAGTTGTACATAATAATATTGACAACTTAGATGGGCATAGCACTTTGTAATGATAATATCAATAATGATAATGATAATAATAATGTTTCTTCCAACCTGCCCTTCCTTGTGAATTACTTGTGGAAAGTTCTTTTACTCAGCAACACCATGGAAGTACTGCATCTTTTTAATCAAAGGGTAGAACTGTTTGACTCTGTGCCACACAGTTAAACATTTGATTTTTTGATTGAATATTTCACTTTTTAGAGGCACTTTTACATAATAATTTTGACAATTTAAATGGGTATAGAACTTTGTACATTACACGTATTACACAATTTCACACTCCAAGTACTCTATTATATAAATATCACACAAGGAAATGGTAAATAATTGTCTTCATCATTTTCAAGAATAAAACACAGCAAGAGCTGTTTGTAGTAACTGTTGCAGCATTTCATTGTTCTCTGATGTTTACAAGAATCTCAGAATCCTTCTGGAAAAGTTATTACAGGTATTCATCAACTGTAAACTTGCTGAATGACAGTGAAGCTTTTTAGAGACAATGTTGGGGATTTGGTTCATGAAGAATAAATAGCAAGATGTAGTTGTTTTTTTATCATCCTTTCCAAATAATTTAATGCTGCTAAAGATTTCTGGGAGCATGGGATTCTGGGAAATGACAGCAACCATGATCACACCAGCGTGTCAGTTTCCCTTTCTCAGCTTCAATCTTGAGTATAGACTGGCTGCTGTGGGTTGAGTTTCTGGGAATAAAAAATGTATTTTTGGCCCCAGGAAGCAGGTAGTTTGTTCAGTTTTGTAAATAGGTTTCTGTGAATTTCTGTATAGCTCATGCACTGCACAAATTGCCTAGCCAGAAGGGTGAGGAGAGACTAAAATCTACCCAGGTTCTGCTTGACAAACCATAATCAGTCCAGTTAGAGGGGTGCTGTTTTGTGATCTATCAAAGGGCCTACCATTTGCTAGTTCTGTCTCTGGTTGAAACCTCCTACTCTGAGTGATTAGCACAGTGCTTAAAAACACTAAACACTGGCTATAAATCAAGGACTTTCCAACACACAAATTGTGTGGAATGAATACTAGATACATTGCATGTTTCATCCTGCTCTCTGTGGAGGAGTACATGGTGTTTAAAAATATTTTGAAAATGTTTCTGTGAGATTTCTCATGAGATGAGTTAATTATAAATATTCCTTCCCCCCACCCTTCGTGCATTCACTCCCTTTTCACTAATGGTGTCAGACACATGCTATTTGCTGTCACATAGGAACATTGTAAGAATGGTAAATCTTCTGAGCTCTGTGCTGGAATGTTTCGGGATTGAATAAAAATGCAGTTTCAGTACCTTTTGGTTTCATCAGTATGAAAAAAATTTGAGTTCCAACCCATGAGAACACAATATTCCCCAAGCAATGATAATAACAATAATGATAATAGTTTCTTCCAACCTGCCTTCCTTGTGAATTACTGTGGAAAATTCTTTAATTCAGCAACACTGTGGAAATTCTGCATCTTTTTAATCAAAGGCTAGAACTGTTTGACTCTGTGCTACACAGGAATGAAAGGTTTATTGAACTCCTTATCTATTTAAAAATAAATATTTAACTTCCTTATCTACTTAAATTTAAAGATGCCTTCATGAGTGGTGAGATTGAGATTGCCAGGCAGTCTAGATAAGATTTAGTGAGTCCAATGACTGATTAGTTATGGATTAAACCAAAGATAAGGGAAACAGGTCTAATGATAAAATTTGTAACATTTTGGGCATTTTCTGCTTAATTGGAATTTTTAATTACCTAAGCTATTGTTAAAGAGAAAATCCACTGATTCAATTTTTTTCTTTTAAAGACTGTTGAAATGAATATGTTTACTTCTCTGCTTCAGTAGCTAATGTAAAGTGAACATGATTTAATTTTGATTTTTAAATCTTTTACATCGCCTCTGTCTTACTACTTGGAGCTTCATGGAACATTGTTACAGTTGTACATGCAGGCACACTTCTGTGGATAATTTCATTGATCACTAGACATACAATGGAATTTCCTTTTTGGAACTTTTTAATTTTCATTAGGACATGGGATAAAGAATGTTTGATTTGGAAGGAAGGTGAGAGACGATTTAGTCTTATTTCCTTGATTTTACTAGAAAATGAACCCACACACAGTTAAGTATTGCCTAAGAACACTCAGAAGATTGGTACTTTAGCTGGCATAAGAACTGAGTGTTATGAACCACCATCTAATGCTTTATTGAATAATCCTGAAATCTAAAAATTTTTATTTTATCCCTGGAGTCTAAAATAATTGCTATTAAATGCAATATTCCATACATGCTTGTCTGAACCTGAACCCCGGTATCATTAAATATTTAGAATTCTGAAGAAGTCATTTCTAGAGTAACAGGTCACAGATAATGACTATTGAAATATATTACAGATATTTATGAGGAAGCCTCTCACATTTGCAAGAAGCATTAAAAACCTATTGCATTTCCCAACTGATATACTTGTAAGTGAGCCGTGCTAACAATACTAATCACTGGTGTTTCTTCTTAGATTATGTATTTCTTACTGACTGGAGGCTGGATGCTATCCTTCGAGTCAGGAAAACTGATGGTGGAGATAGGACAGTTCTCCGAAGTGGCATCAGTAATGTAATGAATGTGAAATCCTATGATGCCAACACCCAGACAGGTGAGTGAGATTGCCAAGTTGTTTTACATGGATGTACTTATTTAATATGATGATTCCTTTTCTCTTTAAGTACTCACTATTTCTTGTAGCTCCTGATAGTTTTATATTCCAGGTAGTTTAATAGTATAAGACTTAAAATCTCTGTTCAACTCTGTTAACCCTCAAAATGTTGCCCAGAAAAACACATTTTAGCACTTTTATGCATTTAAGTTGAATGTTATATTTAGAATGTTGATTTCCAAGAGGAAGCTGCTTTTTAGCTGTTGGGTCTGAAAATCGTTCTTTCCTGTTTGTTTTCTTTCATCAACCAAACCTGTGATCAGCCTAATGGAAATGTGCACAGCTCACTATCTCAGGGCATTGCTTTTCCAGGTTCTAACTACTGTGACCGACCGGCCCACCCCAACGGTGACTGCAGCCACTTCTGCTTCCCAGTGCCAAATTTCCAGCGGGTGTGTGGTTGCCCTTATGGAATGAGTTTGACTTCCAGTCACTTGACTTGTGTGGAAGACCCATCCAACGAACCGCCCCTGGAACCATGTGGCTCCCTTTCCTTTCCCTGTGACAGTGGTGGATGTGTGCCCTATTCCTACCGCTGTGATGGAATCAATGACTGTTACGATAATAGCGACGAGCATCAGTGTGGCACATTCAGTGAGTAGCTTATACATTGGTAATGGTTTCTGGGATGAATATAGCAAAGAGAGGTGTACTTTAAAAAAAAAGTCACTCAGTTATCTCTATGGGAAAAGAAATCTTTTAGAATTTCAGATTTTTAATGTGTACCCCAAGGCTTTTAGGAAGCTAGATACTATATATCATTCATAGATAATGTTATAATGACTTCTAGCATTGATTGGCTTTATCTGCAATAAAATTTCTTTCTGACATTGGCTGTTTGGATCAATGCAGAGTCATTACATAGTAGCAAACTCCTCAAAAAGCCAAAAAATAAACAGGCTTTTTCAGTATCTGAGAGAATAATAACACATAATAGATATATGAAATAATAGCTTTTGAAAAGCTCAAGTGCCATATTTCTTTCTCACTTTGTAGTAAATGAATTTAGAGTGAATCGAATATAACCTTTATAGTATTCTTTTGGTGGTGATCCAGTCTATAAAGTTTGGGTCCTAATAAATGCTATATTACAGAAGACAATACTACTCCATTAAAATTAATAAAAAAGATAGAGGACAATTGAAATCTGAGAAATCTCTTTTAAAGTGAGATTGCTAGTAATAATAATCTTTTTTGAAAAAAGAGTAATAGATCTGAAAATAAGAGTGCCCACTTGAACTTTTCTGAAATTTCTAAAATTGTCTTCCTTTTTTGTATTTAGAATGTCCCATTTTTAAAAGTGCAAATTTTTACCAGAAATATTTTATCAGTTTGCATTTTTTTCAAGATTTTTGCAACGTTTCTGCAAAGTGCGTTTGAAATTGTAATTGGAGGTAGTATAACTTAGAATTAAAGGATGGGCCTTACAGTCACAGCAACTAGAACTTGAATCTTGGGAAGATGCCTAAATCTCTCACACACTCAGTTTTCTCATCTGTAAAATGTAGATAATTACATATACCCCATTTTGTTCTTATGGGGATTAAGAGAGAAAAAACAAAGCACTTAGAAAAGCTGAATAAATATCAGCTAATTATGATGATGATGGTGGTAATACCAGTGCAATGACTTGCATATTTCTCCTTATTTGTCATAATGCTCCCGTTCAAATAGAAGAAGAATTGGGCCTTTAAAAGGCCATAAAAGCAAATGACTTCATGACCACTTTGTTTCTGTTGTAGATAATTCCTGTGCCTCTTCAGCATTCACCTGTGGCCATGGAGGAGGGTGCATCCCTGCCAGCTGGCACTGTGACAAGCACAAAGATTGTTTGGATGGCAGTGATGAGCAGAACTGCCCCACCCAAGCACCCACTTCCTGCTCTGCATCCTACTTCACTTGTGATAATTACCGGTGTATCCCAAAGAACTGGCTCTGTGACACAGATAATGATTGTGAAGATGGTTCTGATGAAAAGAACTGTAGTAAGTTTTGAACTCATTTTTCTTGGTTGGTCAGCCTAGTAAATTGATTTGAACAAGTAGGCTTTGTACACTTCCCTCCAAGTCTCACACAATTTTCATCTCATTTTAACCACTTCTATTCCATCTGTCAATCTCTGTATCAATAGACTATAAGAGCAAAGACGTGGGAAGCTTAGAGTCCTCCTCCTAAATATTGAGTTCAATGGAACAGACATCAGGACTGTCTCTGATGTCCAACGTCTAGATAGAAAGCAAAAAAAAAAAAATCCCTCAACAAACAATTTGGATATTTAAAAAAATTTTTTGAAATCATATAAACATCCATATTTGGCTATTGTTGTTTTTTCATTTGGCACAGAAAAAAAGGCAATAGAATAGAAAGGCCCAGCACATTTAGATTTCCATTTATCTTGCCTACCTGCTTTTCTTCTTGCCGACGATTCTGATTCCTACCAGTTGTTCGTTTTCGTGTCTGTAAGAACAGCTTCAGGTGAAGCAAAGTTCCCTGGACTAAGTTCTAGTTTTGATTTCATGGCTTAGCCAAGTCATCTTCCTTCTGGAGCACATGAGCTTTAAGGACCCTACTAGCTGTCACATTCTAAGAGTTTATATTTAATATGGCTTCATGTTGTGGCTGGGGCAGCCAACACATCTGACTTTAAGGCTATGTCTCTCCAGCAAGGTTCTGCTGAAGCTTTGGATTAAATCCACTTGTCATGATCTGTATGCATTGTTGCTGCTGGGCCTGTGGGTCATGCTGACCACGCTGCCTCATTGGCTCCATTGCTTAGCTTTGGTGTTGAGTCATGGTCTTAACAGCGTTCATGAATATAGATCAGCTGAGGCCCAGGATGCTCGCTTTCTAAGCGTGGTCTGTTTTTCAAGGTGTATTATCAGTTTCTGCCTCTATGCTCTCATCTTTGTATTCCTTTTTCCACAAACTGTTCTGAGCTTTGAGTGCTTTTGTTGGGCTGGTTTTGGCAATGTGGCTGATTTGAAGGAGTTTTGAACAAGAGTACAACTGAGATAACTCATGTCCAGATTGGCTCTTGTACACACTGAACAAGAAATAAACTGTTATTTTGTTTTTGGATGACATTAGCATTTACAGAGACATGCCTGCCTAGTCAGTTTCACTGCCCTGACCATCGATGTATTGATCTATCTTTTGTCTGTGATGGGGATGAGGACTGTGTTGATGGATCTGATGAGAATAATTGTGGTAAGTTAATTGCTTTATTTTTATTAATGTTTAGGAAAAAATCTCAATGCTTAGTCATTTTCTCTTTGAGCTAATTTTTAATGTTTTTCTCTTTTATTTTTAGTAATTAATTGTACAGCTTCTCAATTCAAATGTGCCAGTGAAGATCAGTGTATTAGCGACGCATATCATTGTGATGGTGTTTTTGACTGTAATGACCATTCTGATGAGAAAGACTGTCGTAAGTGCATATAGTCAGCATATTTCAGGAAAAAGGATCATTTCATTTTTATCAGTTTAGATAGATATCGCCATGGATTTTCTCTAACTCAGACAAACTGGAGGGAAAATAGATTGAATTACAAAGTATTGTCATATTGTCAAAGGAATGCAGTAGTGAACATACAGTAAGTTGGATAGGCATTATTAAATGATTTGTAATTTGTGAATCAAGTGATTGTACAAATGGACACTTTCAAGTAGTCTCTTAGGTAGGTTAAATATTTCTTGAATATTTTTGTTCTCCCTATTAGTTTTGGACATCTCAAGTTAGTGTGGTTTTCGAATTTTTGAGGGTTACCATATCTAAAGATATTTAATGGCTTAAATCTCAATCAGAAGTCAAATCATGGTATAGATATGGTATAAAGTGGTGTATGATATTGGTTCTAATCATTTCATTTTTCAGCTTTTATTTGTTGAATATCTGCTAAGCTGTTACCCAGGTCTTTGTCCAAGAGTCTGGAAAGAGAAATTACAGAAAGTAAGAGATAAAGCAAGGTAGACAGTTAAAAGGGCCTTATGAATGATACAGATAAAATTCTATGGAGGTTTGGAGAAAAGAAATTCTGTCTAGTCAGAGGATTCAAGGAGGACTTCAAGAAATGTAAATCTGATGAACCTAGAATCTCCATAGGCTAGAGACCTGTAATGAACAGAACTTGTTATTGCCCACTTTTTGTGTTAACTGAATTTTAGACTTGTAAAAAATTGTCAGTGAGGCAGTCATTGTTTGAATAATAGTATTTTGGACCATTCCATTAATTGCCCTCCCTAATCACTTCTTTTCTAAGAAGTGTTTAAATTTAAGGATAAAAAAGAGAAGGTAAACAAAATTCTTACATACTTTAGAGGCTTCTATAAACCCAGAAATTCTTAATCACTGATCTCCTGTTTCACATTGAAAATATGAGATTCCTTCTGTGATGATCTTGACACTAACTTGCTGTGCCTTCCCTTTGAGGGAGTTTGGGTTTATCTCTGTGAAGTAGGAAAGCAGTTCTTACCTACTTCTCAAGGACTGGTCAGTGAATGGCAGAAAGTTTGCAAAGAATTAAGGATTTATTGTCACCTTTTGTTTACTTAATGTGTCTGCTTTCATTGGATATAGTTCATTTGAGGGAAAACTATAATATCCAAATATATGATATTAAACACATGAATTCAAAGTAAATATAGCTTAATAGCTTAAATAAGCTCTGTTGAAATACTCTGGTGATTCTTTCATAAAGAGACAGAGAAATTTTAATATTTAATATATAATTGAAGGAGCATTAGAAACATAGGAAACAGAATTTTCTTTTGACTCAGGGATTTACTTTCTATTCAAGCATTGTGCATCATGATCTTAGTTGTCAGATCCACTAATCAGTCATATAACAAAGATTTCTGTGTGCCACAATATGGGAGAAGATCCGATGTCATTTTAGATTTTAATATTAGATTTGTTATAGTCATTATTATAAACCCACCATTGATTCAAAAATCATTTCCTCTGAATTTTGGAATTCTGTGAAAGGGATTATGAATTATATTCACAAGCCCATTTTACCCATGCTTTTTTCCTAGCAACCAGGCCTCCTGGTATGTGCCATGCAGATGAATTTCAGTGTCAAGAAGATGGTGTCTGCATTCCGGGGAGCTGGGAGTGTGATGGTCACTCAGACTGCATCCTTGGTTCTGATGAGCACCATGGCTGTGGCCCCAGGACCTGCCTTCCATCTCATTTCCTCTGTGACAATGGAAACTGCATTCACAGAGGGTGGCTCTGTGATGGGGACAATGACTGCATGGATATGAGTGATGAGAAGGACTGTCCCACTCAGCCCTTTTACTGCCTCAGTGGGCAATGGCATTGCCCCGGCTATAGCATCTGTGTGAATCTGAGTGCAGTGTGTGATGGCATCTCTGACTGCCCCAATGGGACAGATGAGTCCCCATTTTGCAGTAAGTTTCCTGACCACAGTGTACTGGTCATAAATTCATTCTGAGCTGTGGCCTGCTGTGCTCTACCAATGACTTGGTCACTGTGTAGTTTTGCAGGAAGGGATTTCATTTCCTCTTTGCGTTTAAGTCTGTGTGGGGGTAACCATCTTGGAATTTAACCATCACTGGATATATTTCTCATTAAATCCTTTGCACTTGGTTCTGTGTTTTTACTTCTTTTTATATCATTAAAAAAATGAGACTAAATGAGGCCATTAGACTGTCAAATTAAATTTGGTTTTGTTTGTAATATGCTCATAAGTTTTTCTAACTTTAATATTTTCTAATTTTAATCAGAACTTGCCACAAAACAAATGAAGTCCAGGGATTTATGTTTGCTGTGATTAAAATCCTGTGATTGGCATGTAATCCTAATTACTGTCCTTTCTCTCTTTCCTCTTTAATCAATGCTCACTTTCAGATGAACCCCATCCAGGTATGATTGCAAAGTATTTTAAATTTTTATGATTTTATATTCATTTTGTTTGTGCTGAAAATGTCCTAATTATTTTGACTTACTTCCCCTTCTAATGCATGTTTCACATCACAGCTCTTATAAGTAAGTCACAGCACACATGGACATAGAGGGCACTCGCATCCCCAGCATGTGGCCTGCCAGCTTCGGGCGTTGCCATTTTGGCCCCGACAGTAATCATGTTGGTGGATCTGTGTTCTGATTGCCTTTCCCCTTCCATTTATTCACTTTCATAGACTTTCCAGCCCTTGCTCTTAAATGTCAATTTTCCATTTCTATGAAAAATGACAGGAAGCAAGTGAGAGGTAATTAAGGACTCTTTGCATATTTTATCAATGACAGTTGTGTTTCTTGATGTCATCAATATTTCCAAATATTGCACTGAATGGAGATATAATAAAGGGTTGTGGTGAATAAAGTTGTCTAAGTGGATAGTAAAATCCTTAGGTACATTAGGGAACACACTGAAAAACCTGCAGAGCTCATCCAAGTGAATTCTGCTCTTAGTTCTTACCTGTGTGCTTTGTTGAAGGTGGCATGAGACTGTGCGGCAAATATCACAATAGAGGGAGAACCAAAGAGGCAAAGACTCCTGACTTTTTCCCCTTGTGATTCTCTCCCTTTATTCTAGACCAGGACAGCTGCTCAGATTCCAATGCTGGTTGTACTCACCAGTGTATTCAAGGACCCTTTGGGGCTCAATGTGTCTGTCCATTTGGATACCTGCTTGCCAATGATTCTAAGACCTGTGAAGATATAGATGAATGTGACATTCCAGGCTTTTGTAGCCAGCACTGTTACAATACGAGAGGTTCTTTCCGGTGCTGGTGTGACAAAGAATACATGTTAGACGCTGACCAGAGGACTTGCAAAGCTACAGGTAAGGACTGAATTTGAAAATCAACTAACTCCAGCCAGCTTAACAGCACACCTCAGAGCTTGAGATCAAGTGTTGCATGTAGGCATTTGACAATGTTTGATTAGGAACTGTATGGACTTGAATCCTGGATGGGTTATGTAGCCTCCTTAAAACTCAGTTGCTTGTGAAGATTAAATGAGTGAACACAGATACAGATCTTTTGGAAAATAGATGATAAAACATCTGTAGGTAGAAGATGATTTTTTTATTATTTAAAATAATATCAAAATGGTTTTTATATTATTTAAAAATTATTCTTGTGATTTATTTAGATATCTTTATGTAATGTGTAATTCAGTTCAACCAATGTTAATTGAATTTCTACTACATGAAAGTAATTATATTATGAATTAAGATATTGACTCAGCTACTTTAAAAGTGACCAAACAAAGGAATCTAGCACAAAACAGACAGTTTCTTTCTTTTTCAAGTAGGAGTCTGGATGGTAGACCATCCAGGGGGTAATGCTGGTTTGCAGTCCCCATGCTGTGGCTCCTGCTCAGGCCTTTGACCTCTCTCAGAAGGTGGGGAAAGGAAAGAGAAAGTGGAGGACAAGTAGCTTCTTTTTAAGGATATGGCCTGGAATTTGACACATCATATCTACTCACATCCTGTTGGTCAGAACCTAATCATATGGCCACTCCAAACTGAAATGGAAGCAGAGAGATGACTTTAGCTGGGTGCATGCATGCCACTCTAAAAAATGGCATTATTTATCACTAAAAAGGAAAAAGAGGAGAGGGATACTGGGCGATGATTAGAGGTCTCTGCCACAGCTGAATGTTGTGGGGAAAACAAAAACATTTAAGATATGATTCCTGGTATCAAGAAGCCTAAACCCAGAAAGGAAAATAAGCAAGGTACAAAAGTAACTATAGTAAGAGGAAGAGTGCAGGTATCGTTTGCCCCAGATTGATATATAGACAAACAATGAAGTATAATTCANCAGAAGGGTGAGGAGAGACTAAAATCTACCCAGGTTCTGCTTGACAAACCATAATCAGTCCAGTTAGAGGGGTGCTGTTTTGTGATCTATCAAAGGGCCTACCATTTGCTAGTTCTGTCTCTGGTTGAAACCTCCTACTCTGAGTGATTAGCACAGTGCTTAAAAACACTAAACACTGGCTATAAATCAAGGACTTTCCAACACACAAATTGTGTGGAATGAATACTAGATACATTGCATGTTTCATCCTGCTCTCTGTGGAGGAGTACATGGTGTTTAAAAATATTTTGAAAATGTTTCTGTGAGATTTCTCATGAGATGAGTTAATTATAAATATTCCTTCCCCCCACCCTTCGTGCATTCACTCCCTTTTCACTAATGGTGTCAGACACATGCTATTTGCTGTCACATAGGAACATTGTAAGAATGGTAAATCTTCTGAGCTCTGTGCTGGAATGTTTCGGGATTGAATAAAAATGCAGTTTCAGTACCTTTTGGTTTCATCAGTATGAAAAAAATTTGAGTTCCAACCCATGAGAACACAATATTCCCCAAGCAATGATAATAACAATAATGATAATAGTTTCTTCCAACCTGCCTTCCTTGTGAATTACTGTGGAAAATTCTTTAATTCAGCAACACTGTGGAAATTCTGCATCTTTTTAATCAAAGGCTAGAACTGTTTGACTCTGTGCTACACAGGAATGAAAGGTTTATTGAACTCCTTATCTATTTAAAAATAAATATTTAACTTCCTTATCTACTTAAATTTAAAGATGCCTTCATGAGTGGTGAGATTGAGATTGCCAGGCAGTCTAGATAAGATTTAGTGAGTCCAATGACTGATTAGTTATGGATTAAACCAAAGATAAGGGAAACAGGTCTAATGATAAAATTTGTAACATTTTGGGCATTTTCTGCTTAATTGGAATTTTTAATTACCTAAGCTATTGTTAAAGAGAAAATCCACTGATTCAATTTTTTTCTTTTAAAGACTGTTGAAATGAATATGTTTACTTCTCTGCTTCAGTAGCTAATGTAAAGTGAACATGATTTAATTTTGATTTTTAAATCTTTTACATCGCCTCTGTCTTACTACTTGGAGCTTCATGGAACATTGTTACAGTTGTACATGCAGGCACACTTCTGTGGATAATTTCATTGATCACTAGACATACAATGGAATTTCCTTTTTGGAACTTTTTAATTTTCATTAGGACATGGGATAAAGAATGTTTGATTTGGAAGGAAGGTGAGAGACGATTTAGTCTTATTTCCTTGATTTTACTAGAAAATGAACCCACACACAGTTAAGTATTGCCTAAGAACACTCAGAAGATTGGTACTTTAGCTGGCATAAGAACTGAGTGTTATGAACCACCATCTAATGCTTTATTGAATAATCCTGAAATCTAAAAATTTTTATTTTATCCCTGGAGTCTAAAATAATTGCTATTAAATGCAATATTCCATACATGCTTGTCTGAACCTGAACCCCGGTATCATTAAATATTTAGAATTCTGAAGAAGTCATTTCTAGAGTAACAGGTCACAGATAATGACTATTGAAATATATTACAGATATTTATGAGGAAGCCTCTCACATTTGCAAGAAGCATTAAAAACCTATTGCATTTCCCAACTGATATACTTGTAAGTGAGCCGTGCTAACAATACTAATCACTGGTGTTTCTTCTTAGATTATGTATTTCTTACTGACTGGAGGCTGGATGCTATCCTTCGAGTCAGGAAAACTGATGGTGGAGATAGGACAGTTCTCCGAAGTGGCATCAGTAATGTAATGAATGTGAAATCCTATGATGCCAACACCCAGACAGGTGAGTGAGATTGCCAAGTTGTTTTACATGGATGTACTTATTTAATATGATGATTCCTTTTCTCTTTAAGTACTCACTATTTCTTGTAGCTCCTGATAGTTTTATATTCCAGGTAGTTTAATAGTATAAGACTTAAAATCTCTGTTCAACTCTGTTAACCCTCAAAATGTTGCCCAGAAAAACACATTTTAGCACTTTTATGCATTTAAGTTGAATGTTATATTTAGAATGTTGATTTCCAAGAGGAAGCTGCTTTTTAGCTGTTGGGTCTGAAAATCGTTCTTTCCTGTTTGTTTTCTTTCATCAACCAAACCTGTGATCAGCCTAATGGAAATGTGCACAGCTCACTATCTCAGGGCATTGCTTTTCCAGGTTCTAACTACTGTGACCGACCGGCCCACCCCAACGGTGACTGCAGCCACTTCTGCTTCCCAGTGCCAAATTTCCAGCGGGTGTGTGGTTGCCCTTATGGAATGAGTTTGACTTCCAGTCACTTGACTTGTGTGGAAGACCCATCCAACGAACCGCCCCTGGAACCATGTGGCTCCCTTTCCTTTCCCTGTGACAGTGGTGGATGTGTGCCCTATTCCTACCGCTGTGATGGAATCAATGACTGTTACGATAATAGCGACGAGCATCAGTGTGGCACATTCAGTGAGTAGCTTATACATTGGTAATGGTTTCTGGGATGAATATAGCAAAGAGAGGTGTACTTTAAAAAAAAAGTCACTCAGTTATCTCTATGGGAAAAGAAATCTTTTAGAATTTCAGATTTTTAATGTGTACCCCAAGGCTTTTAGGAAGCTAGATACTATATATCATTCATAGATAATGTTATAATGACTTCTAGCATTGATTGGCTTTATCTGCAATAAAATTTCTTTCTGACATTGGCTGTTTGGATCAATGCAGAGTCATTACATAGTAGCAAACTCCTCAAAAAGCCAAAAAATAAACAGGCTTTTTCAGTATCTGAGAGAATAATAACACATAATAGATATATGAAATAATAGCTTTTGAAAAGCTCAAGTGCCATATTTCTTTCTCACTTTGTAGTAAATGAATTTAGAGTGAATCGAATATAACCTTTATAGTATTCTTTTGGTGGTGATCCAGTCTATAAAGTTTGGGTCCTAATAAATGCTATATTACAGAAGACAATACTACTCCATTAAAATTAATAAAAAAGATAGAGGACAATTGAAATCTGAGAAATCTCTTTTAAAGTGAGATTGCTAGTAATAATAATCTTTTTTGAAAAAAGAGTAATAGATCTGAAAATAAGAGTGCCCACTTGAACTTTTCTGAAATTTCTAAAATTGTCTTCCTTTTTTGTATTTAGAATGTCCCATTTTTAAAAGTGCAAATTTTTACCAGAAATATTTTATCAGTTTGCATTTTTTTCAAGATTTTTGCAACGTTTCTGCAAAGTGCGTTTGAAATTGTAATTGGAGGTAGTATAACTTAGAATTAAAGGATGGGCCTTACAGTCACAGCAACTAGAACTTGAATCTTGGGAAGATGCCTAAATCTCTCACACACTCAGTTTTCTCATCTGTAAAATGTAGATAATTACATATACCCCATTTTGTTCTTATGGGGATTAAGAGAGAAAAAACAAAGCACTTAGAAAAGCTGAATAAATATCAGCTAATTATGATGATGATGGTGGTAATACCAGTGCAATGACTTGCATATTTCTCCTTATTTGTCATAATGCTCCCGTTCAAATAGAAGAAGAATTGGGCCTTTAAAAGGCCATAAAAGCAAATGACTTCATGACCACTTTGTTTCTGTTGTAGATAATTCCTGTGCCTCTTCAGCATTCACCTGTGGCCATGGAGGAGGGTGCATCCCTGCCAGCTGGCACTGTGACAAGCACAAAGATTGTTTGGATGGCAGTGATGAGCAGAACTGCCCCACCCAAGCACCCACTTCCTGCTCTGCATCCTACTTCACTTGTGATAATTACCGGTGTATCCCAAAGAACTGGCTCTGTGACACAGATAATGATTGTGAAGATGGTTCTGATGAAAAGAACTGTAGTAAGTTTTGAACTCATTTTTCTTGGTTGGTCAGCCTAGTAAATTGATTTGAACAAGTAGGCTTTGTACACTTCCCTCCAAGTCTCACACAATTTTCATCTCATTTTAACCACTTCTATTCCATCTGTCAAT